TTTTTTGTAATTACAACTCAACTGTATCTACTTGTTAGAATGCGTTTCATACGATCTATGGAATAACTTGTGAATCCAAAATACTTCAAATTTGTAAGTAGTAGATTAAAACTCAAAATATTAAACGCTTTACTCAAATCAAGCATGGCTATGCAAGTACCATTTCCCTGTTCTTCACTGTAACTGACATCATTTAATAATCCGGTATAAGATTATTGTTTCCTAAAAACTCTGTAATTTGTTTACATATATGTTTTTCCAATGTTTTAGAAACTGGTGGAAGTGTACTTACACGCGGCAAATCTTTCAGTTCTTTAGGGTCTGCTATCTTGGCAAAAAAATTAATGATCGCTTTTTTCCAGATAGTTGGGCATTTTTTGACAAAAAGGCAGGAATCTACAATGTTTATTAATCCACCATAACAAAGAGACACGCAGATTTTTATGTCTCGAATTGAGATCGCATCTTCTCCAACCGCATTTGAAGTAATGCCGGTGATTATTTTTTCGAGGTCGGTTTGATTTAAAGTCCAATATTACTGTTGTAAAAAGTTAATAGATCGGGGTATCAGCTAAATTATCAGTATCTTGGAGAAAATTATGGATATCTGTGCACTTTTGTAGCTCCTCTGGAATCTCGAAACGATTTTATTTATTAGTTTATTAGCTGTTGTCCCGAATCTTTGACGTTGTGAAAATGTGTTAAAATAAATTATTTTTTCCCTAGCTATTGCATGTTCTGAATAATTCCTTATTTGTCTATAATATGTAAGATAACAACGAGACGTCTTTGTTATGTATTTTTTTATAGTGGAAAGTACTGTAATTATCCGATAATTGGTGCTATCTCTGTCGAGTGTAGGACACCGGGGCGTAATAGATAAGGGTAGAACACTGGTAGATAAATGGATGGGTTCTGGAATTCCTACTATGGGAGTTAAAACAATTAAAATCCTAAGGCACCTTCTCTCTTGGTTTTATGATCGACAATGCCATCGCAAATCGCACCGACTGTCTTTCAGAACATTCAATTGATCGATCGGTAAGTCGTGAGAGAAATAAATAACCATCCGATTGAACGAGTGTCCGACGACACCCTACGAGGTCCATAATTCCTGATAAAAAGCGCCGAGGGCGAATCGTATTTAAATTTGGCAACGCGCGGAAAGCGACGCGGCATGTGCTTTCATCTCCCCCGTCTCACCCTTATTAATATTGCTGATTTATGCGTCTGTTTATGTTGGGTATCTTATGTTTATTGCCTCGCGGTTTTGCGGAACATTTGAGATTACGCAATTTCGGCAAAGCCGTTACAATATTGACAGATGGGGAAACGGGACCTCCGGAAACGGGAAAAATAATATGAATTTGGGGTTAACGTGTTTTTAGTTGGTTTAGCGGAAATAACAAACGCACGAGTGTTTCGACAAATTATTCAAGTGTCCCGTCTTTATGCACGCGATCTATTCCGACACGCGAGTACTTTTAACCGCAGACGACCTCTCGTGGGGAAAGCACAAGGCCGTTGTTCAATTACATTAGCAACGGTTAGAACATTAAAAGCGGATTAAGTAAGGATTTAGGGCTAGATTTCTGGATTATTTTTAACTGGCTACTTTCTGATAAAGCGAGTTTGAAACCCTCGTGCTAACAAAACTTAAAACTTAAAGGATATGTCGGTTTGTTGAAATAATTTCAACAAACTTCAACAAACTATATATAGCAGTTTCCTTTTTTTTCTCTCTTTTTTTTTTTCAATTGTCTTTGCACCTCAGCATTAGCTATTCTCTGCACCCTTGTAATATTCTGCGATATATCCGGAGCCCTAAAGTTTCTATTTTCTTCACATCCTTTTTCTTTAGCGTCCAAGATTCCGTGAAATAGTATAGGAAAACATAACGTCTCATGAGCCGTATTTTCAGTTCCAAATTAAGATCGCTACTGCAGAATACTTGTCTCACCTTCATAAGAAAACTCACTCCTAAAATAGAAATTGGAAGAACATTTCTACATTACGGCTTTGTATCGGTGGAATTAATCCAAATATCTATGGATTAGTTTCCAAAATTCAAGCTCAAGCGTCTCATTGATCTGAGTGTCACAATTTAATGTTGTACCTATGTTCTTGATTTCATTTTGTTATTTTAATAAATTTTATTATAATAACAATTTCGCATTATTTCATATCTGATGTCTATCGTTTAAAATTATGAGCAGTACTTTAAAACACTACTTTTGCATTTATTTGATAATAAATACATATTCAGACTGTACTTATTATAACTGCAATTATGACAGAACAAACTCCTATGCTGTGCACAAACACATATGATGAGAGAGAGAGAGAGAGAGAGAGAAAGAGAGAGAGAGAGAGAGAGTTCAAGCTGTAGGTTAAGGAGTTATACTTCTAGAAGATGCACGATTGTGATGTACCACCCATAAAAAAAAAATTGGACCTCATATATCACATCATAATTATATATAATATAATAATTATAAAGTATTATATAATAATATATTGTTTTTCGGTTTCCTAAGTTACAAGAAACTTGTAAAATAGCGTATAGCGGGTGGTATTTTTTTAATACAATATCAACTTTTTCATCGGAACTTTTTGTTTTAATTTTTTTGTCAAGGGGGGTATGTGTCACTTTTTTATATATTAACATGCCCTGACAAAAGGAATTCCTATCGTAATAACTGTTATAACCATTGCTGTAAATTTAAACACTTTTTCTTGAGTGTCTTAAAAATGTAATTTTGGCACATACCCCCTTTGGCATTTCCACGCTTCATTTAACGAAATTACTGGCATCAATTTAGAGCTTTTTTTTTCTAAATTAAAAGTGGTCAAATAAAAAAATGTTTAGCAAGATTAAGAAAAATATCTTATTAAATTTAAAATAAAATGTTGTATATTACCCCGCTTCAACTGCTAATTAAAAAAAAGTGAAAATGGACTGCCACAGCATCTGGAAAAAATATAGAGCACCATGTCAAATTAAATATATTTATTAAGTACAATTAAGTATAATGCAAAAATTGAAAAACAGTTGTAATTAAAAAAATTTGCGTATGTAAAACAAAAATAATTTCAAGCATGTTTGTTGTATCTACAATAATATAGAAACATCAAGTCATCATCACTGTCAGAAGAAATCAAGAAGCGCATTGTGAGGACGGAGACTGTTCCACCAAGGCTCTATGGACTACCTAAGATACACAAAGTAGATGTCCCGTTAAGACCAATAGTTAGCACCCGGATCACCAACGTATTACTTGGCTAAACACTTGGCATCGCTGCTCCAACCACACGTAGGACACGGCAACAGTTACATCAAGGACTCCACCGACTTCGTGCGCAAGATTCAAGATATCAATATTGAACAAAACGACATCCTTGTGAGCTTCGACGTCGTCTCACTGTTTACCAAAGTACCTCTCAAGAGTTGCTTGGACCTGGTGAACAGGATATTTCCTGTCGATATTTGCAAACTTTTTGAAGTCTGTCTGACCGGTAGCTATTTCGTGTGGAAGGGAAACTTCTACGAACAGGTGGACGGAGTGGCAATGGGAAGCCCACTAAGCCCGGTTATAGCCAACTTATTTATGGAACACTTTGAGGAAAAAGCAATCGAGACCTCAGAGTACAAGCCAGCAACGTGGTTCCGGTACGTGGATGACACCTTCTGATTTGGAAACATGGTATGGAAAAGCTCAACAACTTTCTGCAGCATCTCAACAGTCAGCATCCCAGCATCCAGTTTACTATGGAGACTGAAAATGACCAACAACTTGCATTCTTGGACGTACTAGTGAGGAAGCGAGGTAAGAAGCTGGGCCACACAGTTTACAGAAAACCAACCCATACAGACAGATACCTGCATGCTCTATCCAACCATCACCCAAGTCAAAAGTATGGGGTTATCAGAACCCTGACAGAATGAGCCCGAAGGATTTGCGAACCGGAGAACCTCCAGATGGAACTTGAACACCTAAAAACTGCGTTCGAGGCAAATGGCTACAGCAAGAGGGAGATCGAGAGATCAATGAACTCAAGATCATCAAGATCACGGGATACCGAACAACAACCCTCCACCTCCCACGCATATCTGCCGTATATTCCGAGTGTCACCGACAGGATTGGCAGAGTATTGAAAAGACACGACATCAAAACAATCTTTAAGCCTACAAAGAAGATCCAGCAGACCATCAGGTCAGCGAAGGACAAGAGGGGCTCACTTTCAGCTGCGGGAGTCTACCGCATTCCGTGTTCATGCGGAAAGGTCTACATCGGAACTACCAAGAGATCAATGGGAACGAGACTTAAGGAGCATAAAGCAAGCTGCAGGCTAGGACATACAGAGATACAAAAACACCCACACAATTTCAATCGAAAGGAGAAGACCCTTAGACTCAACCAAATCTGGAACCCGATCCTTAGGAACGCCCGAGCAGTACCGATCGATTTCCCGAGACCAACCGAAGCGGAACAAGCCCCGCCCACCACCAATCGGCATAAACACAACCTGCGCAGGAGAAATCGTCAGTCTACGTCCAACATCGGAGATGGAAGGACCTCTGAAGAAGCTCGCCACTCGTGCTAGCGAAACGTTAGGAAGTAATTCCAATCGACGACGGCCTTTAAACCCGAATGAAGATAATAGATTATCAACGGGCCGCGAAAGCCTTAACCAATTTAACTTCAAGTCATTAGAAATCGAGTGTTGATTTTTGAACACAGCGATAAATAACAATGTCTGACCGTTTCTGAAGTAGGGAATGGTTAGTTATTGTTGCCTTGTAGCTTTGATGTACATCCCTTCCCATGTCGTATTTTATTTTTTTTTTGAAACACTGTTGGACAATTACGTTGTAAATTATTTTGTGTTCCTAACTTTGTTAAGAATGGAACTTACACTATTATTACGTTTGTCAATATGGTTGTGCAGTAAAAGTGGCTAAAAATCGGATATAAGATCAATTTATTTACTATACTAAATCATACTAATTAAATAATTAAACAAATAAATAGTAATAACTTAAATTTGTTGAATCAGCTTCGCTTTTTTATACATTCAATGAGTAACAAAAAATAGGTTGCACACATTCTGAAATCTCCTTTGAAGTACGTAATTCTATTGTTTAGCAATAAACAAAATTGCCTACTAATAATAAATGTTTTGGTTTCTATTGTTTAAAGCTACAGGTGTGCTGCTTTGTGTCCTGCTCGGAATTGCGGGCCCATACGATATGCTGGGGTAAAATAAGTCCGGTTCTCGTATTTGTGGTTTATCTTCTATTCTCGGCATATGAGCTCTAGGTATCGTGTTTTGTTCGCTGAAATAAAATGTTTTGTATGCTGCGTAAGTAAAGTAATGCGACGTAGCTCACTGTTATGCAGTTAGGTTCCTTATAAAAATCGACAAACCAAAAGAGGTCGGTAGCCAATCTAGCTTGTAACTAGAGGAAGATGGGTACCCTGTGGCATTTGTTCAGATAGCCTGAAATTATTATGCCTGGATCTAATAACCACATAGTTAACTATGCATGAATTAGATATTTTAACATGCACTTAAAATATTTATCATCCTAATTTTGATTTCAGCGATACTTTGTTTGGAAATATCCGATAATGGAAAACAATAAATCAAGCAAATCTGGGTACTATCTGGAATAAGGGGATTATGGATATTTATAACGAATTGGTATATTTATTAAAAGCTATCTATCTAATAAACACTTAAATATAGTAAACTCGATTTGGGTTCCACACAAACGAATTATTTTAATTTTTTTGTGTTGTTTTATAATAGAAATGCTTTATTTCTATTTTGGTTTCGTTTAACGTTTAATGGCTTGGTTTATTGAAATTAAGGGTATCGGGTAAAACATTGAAGCGTAGCAATGAGCTATCCGATCTGATGAATGCTAGAATGCTAGTTTTATAAATACTTACTATGCTAGTATGCGGGGCATGTGAGTGTTAAACACCTGAAAAACGTCAAAAGACTATTAGAATTTCATACTATACTTTGGTAACATATGTGAGATTATTATGAAACAAGTTCAACAGCTAGAAATGCAACTCGTTTTACTTCGAGGATTGAAAAGAAGAAGGATCTTCAAATCAAATATTTAGAATTTGCTATTAGATAATTATCGGAAGTAAAGTCACAGAAAATTAATTACCCTGGCTGCAGCTATTATGGTCGCTATTGATAGAACGACGTTCAGCGCCAACAAGACGAAACCTCTGGCGACTAACGTCATAACGATGCCAATCGCCAGCTGACAATCGATGGGCGTGCCTTCTAATGGTGTCAAATATAACTGAAAATCACACGACGAAAAATCTCTTCCCAATAAACCAGCAAATATCAAATCCAAAATCGATATTAGAAGAATCAGAATACCCAGGAGAAGTAATACGTGTGCTTGGCGGGTTTTATTCCATCGTATAGCTGTAAATTCAAGTTCGTGTTAATGGAGACGTTAAGAAAAAATGAAATGCATACCTGAATAGGCGTCTATGCTGGCGGCCACCCAAACAGCGCTGAGAATAAGATAGATCCACATGAATACATGGAAGTCTTGGGATTCTAAGACGCGGCCTTCATTGTCTTTCGCTCCACCTATGAATCGGTCGTAGATGATCCTGTTTAGGTACTCGTGAAATTCCGAGTACTCGGTGTCCATATTCCAGGTCATTTTTTTAGGGGTATGGTAGTAAAAAAAAATAGATATGGTACTCAGGATAATCCATGTCAGTCCTTGGAACTAGAAATTAAAATAATTGACTCGAATTATTGTTTTCATATTTACAATGGCGAGAAAGGCACTTACTATCCCTAGTATTGATACAAATTTACCGAACACTTTTGTATCGCCGGTCAGGTACATTCCGTTGGAATAATTTAGACGCGACGTCCGAGTGCCGATGTCGTATCGATGAACTGATAAACCACTTGTTTTACAAATTTTTACGCATACGCGCAATAATCTGGATTAAAGAATCGTTATCTATTGTCTTTCGATCGATAACAATAATTTTCGATATGAGAAAATAAACACTGAGCTCACCTATACTACTAAATAATTTGTTAAAAATGAATAAGGAGATAAAAATAACCGTTACGCAGCAAGTTCAGATCTTTTAGTTCAAGGCGATTGCAATAAACAAATTTCGTAACCTACTGTACCGAGGAGAAACAATTATTGGTTTTGGATAACTACAAAAAGTCGTGTATCGCATTCCAGGTTTAGAATTAAAAAAAATCTAGCAGTCATGAAATTTGTTGTTTACACTACTTGGCCATCCAGATCACCCGATTTATAACCTTTGAATTTTACAGTCTGAGGCTGTATAAAAGAAGCAGTGTACTTTTTTAGGCTTGTACATATTAGAGAGGAATTATTATATTGTGCTGATGGTGTGTTTACTATTTTAAATCCAGACAGATATCGAAGGTTCATCACGAAAACATAATTTCCTTTCATTGTGTATTTTTTCACTGCTATATTCAATTTTTCTGATTATATTATATGCTAGTTGAACTGAATTTTTGCGGTTTGCCTTGTTTATTTCTTAAAACAAAAATATTTTTTCACGTTAGCTTTGTTTCCTACGGATCCGAGCCACTCCGGACATTACCGGGATATTACCGCACAAGTTTGTGAGCAATCGGATGTTTTCGGAGATATTACCGCACGGTTTGAATTTTAACGTTTGTCAATGAAATGTACCCAAAAATTAACGTTGGCAGAAAAAGTATGACATGCAACACGTTTGGTTAATTTTTTAAATCACTCGTTTACCACACTTGTTGCATAATACATAGTATCAGCCAAACATGGAAAATATGGAGTAACAAGAACACCGGTAAACATAAATAAATAAATGATGTTTTTTTTCTCGCAAATTTTGGACTCCATTCAAGCTGTAAATTAACTCTCACCATCTGTTTGAAACGGACGATTATTGTGTTTCTGTTTACCAAACAGACGATTACCACTAGGTAATACTATATTATGCAACAAGTGCGATAAACGGCATTTGACTCACGAGTTAATTTGACACGAGCGGAGCGAGTGTTTAATAATCGAGTGAGTTAAAAGCACTGAGAGAACAAGAACATTTCCAGTTGCCTTGAGCTAGACAATAGATGAGCAATAGCATTTTGTGTACAAGCTGAGATGTGTTTTTCAAAGCGAAGTTTTGCGTTTAAAAGAAACTCCCTTTTTTTGTTTCGTTTTCTAATGGCATAATAATATTGCCTATCGTAATGAATACTTCAGAACCAAGACCGGACGACCGGAAAAAATTAGCATAGATTTTCGCAGGTTTAAGAACAAATTCTGTTAATTCGTTCAAGGTCACTGTTGATATTTCGGCAGTCAAGATATAAGTGGAAGGGGTCAAAAACACGGTAGAGCTGCTTGTCCTTAGCATATGGCTGTATTTTACAATACTCGACGAAATCTAAGAATTTTGTTGTGAAAATAATAAAAAAAAAAAAACTAAAATCCAGCCTTGTGGAACTCCATTTCTTATATCTAGGCACGCAGAGTCGACCCTGTTGAAGACCGCCTTTTGCTTTCTCCCCTTTAAGTAGTTTTTTATTAAATTCAAGCTGTCTCCGCAAAACCCAGATATTTAAGAGTGGTAAACAGAATATTGTGACTAATTGTACCAAAAGCCCTAGAGCTCAGTAGGACAACACACTTGCCTTTGTCAATCCCTCGATTGATGTCATCTGTCACATTAGGAAGAGTTTTGTCAATTAGTTCTCTTTTTCAACATAATTCACTATTTGAATTTTTAGAACACATTCTATAATCTTAGATAATATTGACCGAATTAAAATCGGTCTTAGATTACTAAATGATTGCTGGTAGTCAATTTTAGAAAGAGGAATAATATAAGTTATTTTGCAAATAGAGGAAAACACCAAATGAGCGACGCACAAATTTACAAGATGACAGATATACTTAAATATAAAAGAGCAATAGAAAATGATAAAGTTAGCTGTTGTTTTAATTTGAGTGAGAGATTGTGCAATTTGCAATTCTAACACCACAGCAAACTGAAATTTGTCTTATGGGTACCAAGGGTTCTTATAGTAATGTCGAATGGTAATGTCGATTTTGATATTGGAATTGAGTTAATGAAAGCCTTGTTTATTAAATCTGGATCAGACAGTTGGTCAGAAATCCTTTTTTCAGTGTTTTTTGATTTGTTTATGATGCTTAATTTTTTTTTAAGATTTACAAAATACTTAGATTTTTTCATCGTTTATAGAATGTTCTATATATGTCCCGATGGTAAAATTTGTTGATTTGTTTAATTTTATTTTTACCCGAAGGCATTAACGTCATAGTATGAGACTAAAGTTTCATTTATTATGTTTTTTTTTATATAATGATCTACCCTCCACGATCGCGACCTACTTTATCTATATGTAAAAATAATTGTTAGGAATTTTAACCATATAAGTAGATATATGCGGTTTTAAATTAGTTTCAGAAACTCCTACTATACCGTAAGCTTCCTCCAGGATAAGGTCCCTAAACTTGTCAATATGTAACGGTAATGAAGGTATATTAAGATGAGATAGTTTTGGTTCGTGGCAATTGCCAGTAGGGTAAACGAAAACACAGGAATTGTCCTATTCGAAGTTGATATTGAGAACTTTAATTAATTCTACATCGAACGATCCGAATGGTCAGTTCCAGAGTTCCTTAACTTCTGGGAGGTAAACAAAAACATGCCCGACTAGGTCAATATAAAAGCGGACTAGAAAAAAAAAAAGTAGAATTAACTTATACATTATAAAATATACAGGGTGTTGTATTTTTTAAGGTTTTGAATGTTTGATTGCATCTTGGGTTGGCAACTTCTGAACATCATTTAAGCAATAATTCAATTTTCAATACCAATTTCGAAGGGATGGCAACAATAAACTAAAACTGTAATTAAGACACGCATGGAGCTATTGAAATTAGGTACAGAAAAACCTGAAGGAAACCACTATGAATGCAATAAGTCAATTTTTAAGACCAGTTTTGAAATAATATAAGATATTGATTAAGATATCTACGGAATTATTAAAATGAGGTATAGGAAAACCTGAAAGAACCCACAATGAATCCAATATCAAATCAAATCAATCAATAATATAAGACATTAATCAAAATATCTAAGGGACTATTAAAATTAGGTATAAGGAAACCTTAAGTAAAATAATATGTATACCAGTATTTAATAATGGGTGTTTTTTTTCGATGTATAGAACTTTAAGTTGGCATTACTGTTCAAGATGGCGACCGATTTAACAGCTATCAACAGCGATTTAGCAGCTGTTATTCTCAGTTTGATTTGGCAATTCATCATGAATAGACTCACGCCTGAACAACGCTTGCAAATAGCGCAATTTTATTTCGAAAATAATGGTTCTGTGCAGAATACGTATCGCGCACTACGTCCATTTTATCGTCGACAAAATCGTCTATCAGAGCAGTTAATTCGATTAACCATGGAACGTGTTCGCACCCCCAGAGACGCCGTACGGTGCGTACAGAAGAAGCTGTTGCATTGAAGCATCCGCCATCGAGCACAGGAATTGGATCTGTGTCCATCCACTTTATGGAAGATTTTGCGGAAGGATCTTGGCTTACGTACTTACAAAATCCAACTCGTGCAAGAATTGATCATCAAGTAAGGCGTAGATTCGTCGAATGGGCCCAAAACGAGATTGCCGTTGTTCCCGATTTTCATAAGCGAATTTTGTTTAGCGGTTGGTTGAATGGCTACGTCAACAAACAAAACTGCAGCATTTGGAGCGAAGCTAATCAAGTGTATGTCGAAACACCGTTACATCCAGAAAAACTGACTGTTTGGTGCGCTTTATGGGCTAGTGGAATCATTGGTTCGTACTTCTTCAAAAACGATGGTGGCCAGAACGTTACAGTCAATGGTGATCGGTATAGAGCTATGATTACTAACTCTTTCATTCCTGAATTGAATAACCATGATGTCCAGTACATGTGGTTTCAACAAGACGGCGCAACATGCCACACAGCTCGTGCCATAATCGATTTATTGAAATACACGTTTGGTGACCGCCTAATTTCACGTTTTGGACCTGTGAATTGGCCTCCAAGATCTTGTGATTTAACACCGGTAGACTACTTTCTGTGGAGCTATGTAAAGTCATTGGTCTATGCGCATAAGCCACAAACGCTTGACCATTTGGAAGACAACATTCGCCGTGTTATTGCCGATATACGGCAACAAATGTTGGAAAAATTCATCGAAAATTGGACGTCCAGATTGGACTACATCCGCGCCAGCCGTGGCGGTCATATGCCAGAAATCATATTTAAAATGTAATGCCATAAGATTATCTTTCGGATAAATAAAATTTATGTCAATCGAATAATCCATCGTTGTTTTATTGCAATTTAAAATTCTATACATCGAAAAAAAACACCCCTTATAAGGAAGGTAGGTGCTGTGAGAGACTTATTAGTTACCATATGTAATATAGCTGTATTTATATCTAAAATATTTCGCTAAAATAAACTCTTATGAAGATATCAAAGATAATTTGTAATTTTTATTTAACAGCTTGCCTATGAACCGCAAGAATATCGATCTGGGCCCGGCGAAGGTAATAAGGAAAAATTGTCAGAAAAGGAAATGAGGCATCGCGCCTGCCGTTAGACAACCAACAAATGAGGGCTCTACAACGCCATATCGCGGGGGTGTTAAAATTAACGGGGCCTAATTTGTTATACGATTTTGTTAATGGCGCCCCCTGTTGTGACGCTCGTAGCATATTAATTAATAACGAAACCCGCAAAGGAAAAAGTTGACGTGCAACGGGGTCGAACCGAGCATCTCCAAATTCTTTTGTCGTTAACAAGTTATTTAATTTTGGGAA